TATAAGAAAAAAAAAGTGTATCCGTAGTAACTATTAACAAGTTTCTTATAAGCTAACATATATATTCTACGTTAAACTACAAAAATTGTTTAATTTCGTTAGTAACATATATCAACCAGCACATAATAAGTTGCAAAACTATTAGTTTTACTGTGATGTTTTAATTTTTTTAATTATTTGTATCTCTGGCCATTCATTTTCAGATCACAAATTAAATATAGCCAAGCATATTGGAAATATAACGATAAAACTACAATTTTAGATATTGTGTAATTATAATTTAATAATTCATTTTTTTTATAATTATTATCACACGAGCACTATTATATCCAACCGACCAATACTATACATTATTTTATAATAGTTAAGTTTTATAGTTTGTCATACAATCTCTCCGCACAAAACGGAAATTTCCCCGCCCGTACAGATGCCATTTGGGGTTCAAATGGCAATTACACAGCACGGGAAAATAGCCGTTTCGAGGGACACACGGGGACACAGACAGAATATTCGCATAAACGCTCAAGTCACGCCCGTCAAAATCGAGCATTTTGCCCGGATTACACCACTTAATCCGTTCAAAACATTCGATTACCAGCTGTACCGCGGGATCGCGTTCAATGTCGCCATTAAACATGATTTACATCAAAATCATTCTAATACTTTCCTGGTCACGACGTTTTTCACAACGCACTGTCCTTCCACGGCCGACAAAGTGTACACCCTGATGGAATTCTGGTTGCGCACCCTCGAAAACGCCACGTACAGCTGTCCGTGGGCGAACGGCTGTACCGTCAGCGACAGGCCGACACGATCGAAGGTCTGCCCCTGCGACTTGTTCACGGTCATGGCGTAGCAGAGCCTCACGGGAAACTGGTTACGGCGCGTGCGGCAGGGAATGTCGCCGTCCCCGGACGTCCTCGTCTGAACGATCGGAACGACTGTCTCCTCGGCGTCGAGATCTGTCAACAGTTTAGCTTTAAAATTATGTTGCCTGAACTCAGTATTACCAGTCTGGTGCCGTTGCACAGTCNACTCAGTATTACCAGTCTGGTGCCGTTGCACAGTCGTCTGGCCGTGTCCAGGTTCTTCAGCAACATGACGATCGCGTCCACCTTCAGAGTCAACCTGTACGGCGGCAAGTTGTCCGCTTCCAGAGTGTTGAGAAACTCTACAGGAAAATTGGCCGTCTCGTCGTCGTCGTCGGCTACGACGGTGTCGGTGGCGGTGTACACCCTCAGCGACCCCGTCACTCGACTAAAATAGTGTCAAACAAATGAATATATATATATATCAATAAATCGCAACGAATAACGCTGAGAAAAATCGATTTTAATAATTTATAATAATAGTTCCGGATGGAATTTAAAAAAATATAAATGTTGGAAAACCATTAAAAAAATACAAACTAAGTAGAAAACATATACCGTAGCAGTGTAACAGAAACGCCGTTCCACGCTGAATAGACAACATAATGATCACGACGACGCACGATAATGTCGCTAAACAAATGTTAGCAATTTTCGTAAAACAAAAAAAAAAGTACACCGTTTCATAGTAGAATGCGCGCCATTTCTGTACAACAGATTCCGTTATATTTAAGCCGAATTCAATATTTAATATATATATATATATATATNTCAAATTAAAAAAAAAAAATGAAAAAAAAAAATTTTTTGGTTTACTTAACAGTTCGTTGAACTTAACCATATTTTTGAGCTTTTTATGAACTTTACGCAATCAATTTAGGACTTACAATTTTTTTTTCTAATTATTATTATTCGGCATTAAAAAACGAACAATTTAGATGTACTAAGTAAGAAATTTGAACAAAAATTGAATAAATAATGACATTTTATGTTTTTTTGAGTATTTTTGGTCAATTTTCTTAAAACGCGTTGAGCGACCTGTAAAAATTTTTTTTTTAATCTCAAATTTTCATAAAATGATTATTTTAATGTATATAATATATTTATGAGGTATCTCATAAACATTTTGAAGATCGATTTTTTTTGAGCCACCCTAATATATATACTAAGTAGCGTAACAAAAAAAACAAAAATACACTTTTAAAAAATATCCTTTTTTGTGAATACGCATACGTGTATTCATGAAAATGAAAATTTGGCTTTTCGATTGATTATGAACGTCGGATTGGAATGATAACATGACGATGCAAGTAATATCGGTAGGACGACCGAAACCGGGTCGTGGTCCGAAGACACGGACGATAAAAAGTCGCACGGTCCAAAGTTCAATTTGCGCGCGTGACGAAAAACTCCTGCCGCGAATCTTGAGTAAAAAAAATTGATGTGCCGTGGTTAGGCATTCGCGTTTTACGATAAACGTAAAAACACGAAACAGTGTCTTAGGGTTCGGAAGTACACCTAAATAACTGAATAGCCCTGTTCGATCGCGGTGGCGGGGTCTGATTGAACTCGGTTTAAATGCTGGCGACTCTCGGGGATTATAAAGCGACGGAGTCCAAAGTCCGACCTGGGAGTGGCAAAGAATTCCCGGGCTGAAAAATCTTTTGGCGTTATATCACAGTTACGTTATTCAGTCAAAATGAGACACGTTTATATTAAGTGCAACATATTTAGCGTATGCGGCCCAACGGCGAAAATACCTCGAAAAAGCCCTAGGGGCTAAAAAAAAAGCGCAAGGGTCCGAAACGTAAGTGCACTTATTAATTTATACTTTTATTAATCGTGCACCCATACCATATTGATGACGGATGATAATAATTTTCGCAGTGTGCTGGAGGTGCAAGAGTGGTGGCCACTTAAATCGGGAATGCCCGAGTAGTTATACATAAAACTACGACTTATATCCATATGTTAAAAAAACGTTTTTTTTTTTTTTTAAGAACGTAAAACAACACCATCACCACCTACACCGACGCCTATGGAATTGGAGCAACGGCCTTCTCCTCCACCGAGGTCTGCGGGATGGGTCGTCAACCGGGGCAAGGTATGAAATACATACGTACAATAGAGGCATAACTAATAATTTTTCAAAAAAATCAAATTATTTAAGAAAATAATAAGGAATAAATTTTTCGGTCAAACTAAGGAAATTTATTTATGGTAAACCAATAATAGCTAATGAAGTATGAGTACGCAAACGCGTATTATTAATACTTAGTGATATGTTCTGCCTCTTGCATTTATTTATTTCATATTGTTATGATAGATGCATAACAATAAGTGTGTTTTTTTGTTTCGGATCAAATTTCGAGTTGAACAATTAATTAAATATATATACGTATATATTAATTATAAATATATTAATAAAAATAAACGTACAATTAAAAACGTGTTGTTATTTTCATGTTATTATAATATAATATATTATATAATTACAGTGGTTAATGTGGTAAAATGTTAATTGAATAACGTTATAATTAGTAAAAATATTTCACAAAAGATTATACAATAATTATGCGTGGAGCCGTATATTAAAAAAAAAAAAACAATAGTAATACAACAAAGAGTACGGTCAAATGTTTATGAACAATTAATTAAAATTAAAAGAGTATATTGATATTACTTATCAGATCATTTTTTTAATTTAAAAATCGTGATAATGTAACCCAAAAATTATTTGAAGCATTTGATATACCTATCAACCCTGTTGTGCTCTAGGGAGATATATCTAACAATGTAGTGGAACAAAACTATAGGAAAAGTATGGGTATATGTAGAAAGATAAAAAAGCTTTTGAAATTAAACATTTCTCATTAATGTTTTAAATTAATTTTCTGTAACATATTAAATTTTGTAAAAATTCGAATTTTTCTACATTTATTCTACAGTATCAAACGCTGGTTATGTTTTATAAAAAAAGGACAAAGGTAAACACAATCTTTTCACACTAAATATGATATGTGTATGGATTTTTCCATGAAAACTGTTAATGTTATAATGACTTAATTTAATTCAAATAAAAATACGAACAATGCCTTTACTTAAAAAGTAATTTTATCTTTTCAGAGATGAAACTACTTATTCTAACTAAAATTAGAATTTATTTATCACGAGTCAAGATTTATATTATACTAAGTATAAGGTCTATTATATTTATAAATTTGGTATTAATACATAAATACATGTACGATGATAAGAAATTTGATAAAGCAATTATTACTACTTATCATTCAAAAGCGTAAGTAATTTTCAAGTAAAAAGTTACACTCCTCCAAATTACAGTCATCATGGAAAGATAGTGTTTACTTCTGTCCTTTTCTCAATACGTATTTAAATGTATAATACCATAAAATAATACATGTCAATTCAAACTTTTACAAAATTTAAAATGCTGCAGAATATTTACTACTGCATATTTATAAGACATTTTTTTACCAAATTTTTTTTTAATCTACTCTATAAAATAGCTATCTTAGATTTGTTTTTACATCTTATTTAAAATTTAAAAATAATCAATATTTATAATAAAATGAAAAATAATGAATTATTGATATATAATTATAGACCAAATAATTATTATTTAAAAAAAAAAATAAATATTAACTGGATCAAGAGTTATTTGAGTTGTCAGTGAGTGTTGGGAAACTCTGTATATTGGCAATGGCTCAATTGAAGCGTAGCACAATAACGTAGGAGAAACCGAACTGCTTAAGTAGTGGCGTGGAGCCGTATATTAAAAAAAAAAAACAACAATAGTAATACAACAAAGAGTACGGTTTATGTACAATTAATTAAAATTAAAATTAAATTATCGTGTTATAAAGTAAAAAAGACAGGCCGCGTAATCAACGCATTATAACAACTTGTTGATATTAAACGCTGCCCGTTTGTTGGACTTAACACCACAACGATAACGTGTGTGTGTAACGGTCCGGTTTACATTGGAGTGATGGGTTATACGACTGCGAGGTGACAATGAAGATGAGTAAAGTCTAAGATTTCATTTAACTAAATACAAGAAAAGGTATTCTATTCATGTCTGAGCAGACAATTAAAACAAAATAAATCCGATTAGACTGTTATATGAAATTATTTATTGATAGTAAAATCATTATAAAATTTACAATGTTGAAAATACATTTAAAAGAAATTAATATTTTTAACTGAAATTGGTGTAATTTTATTTTATATATGCTTCTTTTAATATTTTAAAATACTTAAAGTGGAACTGATTCAAGGTTGGCAGATTTCAATGGTACTGAATCTAAAATTTTTAAAAACAATATTTTTATATAAATGTATAAAGTTTGTATTTCAAAAAAAAAATTATCTAACTATAAATATTTTATTAAGGTACTAATTCACAAAAAATTAATTTTACAGAAGAAGGAAAACGCCGTTTCTATTTACAGCATAAAATAATGACAAAAATCATTTTGTTTAGGAACTAGTACCATTCACGTATAATCGCTTCATTTAATAAAACAGAGATTATTTTTTTGTAAAGGCTTTATGTTTAAAATGAGATTAAAATTAACTTAAATAACGAAATTAATAGATAATACTCACCAGCTCTGCTGCCATTATTACAATTACATTATGGCCCCAAGGGTTTGGAATCATCTGTTTGGTCAATTTCATTAATCAAATAAAGTAATGTTAGTTATAGGTTTTATCAAAAAAAAAAGTGCAAATATTTTATTAATAATAATTTACGATGAGATATAATGAAGTAATAATATTTTATGTACATTTTTTTCGACAAATTCTTTAAATTGTATGAAACGTGATAATATCTTTGATTTACCTTATACTACTAATGCTTAATTATCCCATTATTAAATAAAAAATATTTACATCAAAAACGTTTCATAATTTATACAAATTTTGAAATCAAGATAACAAGATGAAAAACAAGATATAAAATATTTTCTAACCAAAATTATAATCATTTCTGAAAAATTGATAAATTGTTTCACCAATGAAGTTATCTATGTTTAATAATATACTTTTTAACATTAGTTATCAAAAAAGTGTATCATACATAACTAATTAAACTAATTATTGAAATTGATGAGAATTTGTTATACGGCAATTTAAACCTAGACATATTAGTTCAAATAGCGCTTACGAGGCAAAATTTTATATTTAATTTATAAAATTAAAATTATTATTAATTAATGGTAACATCTTACCACCATCGGCCAATCCATTTGAAAACGAAAGCATGCTTATTACGAAACATACGAAAAAAAGAACGTTAAAGAATTTCATTTTGATTTATCTGGAACATAACATTTAAATTATAAATTAAATAAAACTAGCCCAACTACATAAGTTTTAATAAAATTTATTTTTTATGTTCAACATTCGTCTATTTTAAGCGTAAAATTAAACCCAACCCAACTTAAATGCTAATATCTTTAAAAAACTAATACTACTAAAATTTTTAAGGTATATTTAATTAAAAATACTTACTTGGTATAGACTACTGAATTGTCTGTATAGAGTAAAACGAAAATAACTATAATAAAAATCGAATATTATTAACCCCTTTTATATTGCCATAATGTAAATAAATTAATTAATTTCATGTATTTTGAAAATAGAATCCAAAACACTTGTTTAAATCATATTTAAGATATAATGAAATTTATTACAATAATGGACATGTACCTTAAAATAATATTAATATGAAATTAGCTTCAATTTATTAAGTTTTCATTTATTTTAAAATCTTTTTGCTTTGTATCACATGATATTTAATCTAAAATAAACATTATTTAAATTATTATTTCAAATTTTCTAATTTCAATATGACATTTGTGATTTATCGTAATTCATAAATAACCTAATCGAAAAACAATATTAAATAAAATAAAACTGTTTGAATTTTAGTCATTGTATAATAAAAAGAATATTATTTGATATTAGGCCAAAAACAATTTGTGATAATCTTGTTTATATTTTTTTTATTCAAATGTATTATTATATATAGAATTGAGATAAGACAAAAAATTATACTTATTGATACAAAGTTCTAATCTCAGATTAGGTTTTTTAATACAATATACTTTTGAATGAGAGTGATAAGTAATAATTGCCTTATCTAATTTCTTATCATGGTATTTATGCCAAGTTTGTAATGTATACACACTATCATCATATGTATACACAGTAATCATGAAAAGATAGCGTTTNAACAGGAAATAATAAACAATATGTAAAGGTAGCACATAAGATGTAGGGTAATAAACTATGTCTAAAATATTATATTAGATAGTATTATTTTATAGTAGTATTTTATAATATAGAGATCATTATTGATGAAAATGTAATAAATTACGATTAACAAAGAAATAATGGTGACGTTAGTGATCACTTCTTGCCTTTGAACCACGATCAAATATAATATAAAAAGCCTAAAATAAGGAGCATCCCGAAACAGATGCAGTCATATATTTATAGAGGCACTCACTACGCTTGATCAATCCACATAACGAAATATATGCAAGAAGTGATCCACCATCTTCACAATTATATTTGTATAAAAAAATACAACATCTATTTATTTAAGAGTGTCAGAGAAAATATCAAGGAAGGAAACTAATAATTTCAACAAAAATATATAAGGTTTAGAATTAAATTTTATGAGTACATAGATTAAGTAGACATACAGGAAAATCAAGTTATCATTAATAATAATAAATATACCAAGTAAATTTAATAAATCTATAATGTTTTTATATTGTTGATACGTGTCTCTTTCAGAAGTTTGGGGAGAAAGTTTTCAGAAGAGGTTGGAGGTTCACTAGGTGACTTAATCCCACCTATCATCGATGATTGTTAAAACTCGTGTCATAATTGATAAATAAGAATTGAAAATTAATTATTTTAAGTTTTCATTTATTTTAAAATTTTCTTGCTTTGTATCACATGATATTTAATCTAAAATAAACATTATTTAAATTATTATTTCAAATTTTCAAATTAATAAATACATAATCTGTTCTGAAGTTTTTTTTANTCAAATTTTCAAATTAATAAATACATAATCTGTTCTGAAGTTTTTTTTAAATACGTGCTTAATATAATTGGATATATTTATTTAGGGTGATAAATTTTTGTTTTAAAAATTTGTTTATTTTTATGTTAAATAAAATTCTG